TGGCCGCCCTCTGCGCAGGGCAGGCACCGGGAGAGGGGGCGGGGCCACCCGCAGGCAGTATTGACATGAGGGCCAGGGTTAGGGTGAAGTCAACAGGCAGAATTGTGCAAGTGCAGGACCTTGTCTGTAGTTAAGTGGATATTTTGTTCATCATAGTTTTGTATTACTTCTGATTTTTAAACAGTGTGTTGGGAATATTCAACTTGATGATGGAGTTGTCCAATAACCACTGGGAGTCTGGGTGAAGCTGCTGCTGCACCCGGCATCCCTACAGGAGCGCTGCTTCAAGTCCCACTGCTTCCCTTCTGACCCAGCTCCCTGCTGCTCGCCTGGGAAAGCAGCAGGACCCCTTCCACACACGTAGGGGACTGGGATTGAGTTCCAGGATCCTGGCTATGGCCTGGCACAGTCCCGGCCGTTGTAGTCAACTGGGTGAACCAGTAGGTGGAAAATTCATGTTCTCTCTCTCTCTGTCACTCTGCCTTTCAAATAAATAATCTTTAAAGAGTTTGCATCCAAGGTGAATGCCTCACTGGCCTCCCCTAGCTGACACTTTGAGCTGGGGGTGTACAGTGCGTCCGGTGGTGTAGGCTGGCTGCACCTGCCCTGGCTGTGCCTACCCTGGCTGTACCTGGCTTTGACTTCACCTGCGTTCCGTCAAATGAGGTCACCAGCCCCCCCTCGGCCGAGGCAATGATGTGGGTGGCACCCACTCTCACGGACGCTGCTGGGTCAGGGGCAACACTTGGGGCCCCTTGCTTCAGCTGCCCGCAGCCTCACAGGTGCCTGTAATCGGATCTGCACCGGATGGGGAGGCGTGGAGCGAGTGCCGTGGAGGCCCCCTCCCCACCTGCTTCCCCTGTCTGTGTCCTCCCGCGGGTTTCCAGTGGTTTGAACCGTAGGCTGTAGGGACGTAGGTGTGAGGATGGAGAGATGGGAAGGGGTGAATTCTGGAATACTGTGACCTCGTGCCAGGCTCCGGTCTGGAGTGCGGGGCGGGGGCACTGCAGGTGAGGGCGGGGTGGATCTACTTTGAGAAGGGGTTGGTGAAAGCCCTCAGGATGTCCACGGGAATGACCCAGGGTTGCCTCATGGGGCTGGGGGTGGAGTGAGGCCATTAGCTTTTCTACTCTGCTTCACTAACTGGTAGAACATTTGAAGTTTTAAAATTATAAGAGAACTTTGGAAGAGGTGGAGGGATGGGGAAGATGGCAGATGGGGGGGGGCACAGGAGCAGAGACCTGGGCAGGAGCAGGTGTGGGGGTGCAGGGCACACAGAGACCTGGGCAGGGGTGAGGTGGGGGTGCAGGGCAGGAGCAGAGACCTGGGCAGGGGTGCAGGGCAGGAGCAGAGACCTGGGCAGGGGCAGGTGTGGGGTGCAGGGCACACAGAGACCTGGGCAGGGGTGGGGGCGGGGGTGCAGGGCAGGAGCAGAGACCTGGGTAGGGGTGGGGGCAGGGGTGCAGGGCAGCAGTGAGGACAGTCGGCTGCTGTCTTCAGCTGGTGACAGACAGGTAAAGGGGCGGGGCCATGTACCAGGGGCCAGGGCAGCCGCCTGCCCACCTGTCCTGTTCCCGTCTGCCCACCTGTCCTGTTCCCACACTCACAGCTGTCCTCTGCAAGGACAGCACCAGTCCTCCCGCCCTCGTCCCAGGAGATGCTCCCGGTGTGAGCCCTGGACCAGCCAGCAGAAGGACCCCTGAAGCCGACCCTGGACACACACAGCATCCCAGCCCTTAGCAAAGTGAGGACATGAGGTGGGCTACGGCCCCGGCTCCCGGGCTGTGGTCCCGGGCCTCCAGCGGAGATGGCCGGGAGGCCCCCGAGCACCGTGTGCTCCTCGCCTGTGATCGGGCGCCGCGGCTGGGCTGCGGGGACCACAGCGGCGTTCGTCAGCCTCGTGTCCGTCAGCCTTGTGTTGCTACGAGTGCCATAGCCAGGGCGGGCTGCTCTATAAGGAAGACGGGTTTATTGTGGTTCCCAGTCCTGGCAGGCTCTGGTGAGGCCACGTGGCCTGAGACCCCCATGGCAGGAGTGGGTATGTCTGAGTGTCTGTGTCCCCCCCGTTTAGAAAGCAGCCGAGGATTCTAGCCTGGGGCCCCGCTCCAATGTCCGAACCCCACGTAAGCATCTCCCTCGGCTCCACCTCTGACCACGGTCGGCTGATGAAGTTCGGGGGTTACCCCCAGCACGAGGCAGGGGGACAAGCACATTCAGACCACAGCAGCGGACAAGCGAGGAGCCACAGGGACGGCCCCCAACACCGTCCTCTCTCCCAACAGGTGCTCGGGGGACGCGGGGCCCTCGGGCCCCTCCAATGCCACCCTGGCCTTTCCTCCCACTCACCCCTGACGAGCGCATAGGAGCCAGAGGGCGCCAGGCTTGTCCTCCCTGCGAGTCTCAGAGCCGGGGTTGCTGAGAGCAAAAGGAGAGAGAAGTGGAAATCTGAAAATAACGATGCTTTATTTATTTCACATCCCCAGACAACGCAGCTGATTTCAGAAACAAAGTTCAAGTCTGCAAAGATCCAAGGAGCGAACTCTGCAGACGTCGATGCCGCGGCCCGGGCTCTGCAGGGCGGAGTTAGGAAGCTCAGCACGGCGGGGTCTGTCCAGGCTCAGTCTCCAGGGGAGTGACGCAGCCGCAGGAGCGAGGCCCCGGGCGCTGATGGGATTTCTGCATATATGTCCACGTATGTTTATCTACAGCAGTGCAACTCTCTCCCAGTGCGCAAGCGACAGCGGCTCCCACAGAGACACGGCTGCCTCGGTGGAAGGTCACCCACACGGTATTATAAAAAACACGCTGTGTAATCACACAGTAGACACACAGATAGACGCAGTGTGCAGCTGATTAAAAAGTTACTTGCATTGACGTTTGCTTTGGAAGAATAACAAAGGGGACACCCTGGAGATTCCTCGCCAAATAAAGGTAGCAACTGGAGACGGCCGAGTGTGGTCGGCCATGGCACCGCTGTCTGTCCACGGAGGGAAAACTCGAACGGGAAGAGCGATGGGTTGGGTGACGCCATTCTCTCTCGCGACACGCACAAGCCCCATGGAGAACTGGTTCCCGTTCAGCCCCTTCCAGGAGGAGCTCCAGACCATGGAAGCAGAAAGCCCGCTGTGTGCGTGGTGGGCTATTCTAACCGCAACCTTTCACTGGCCAGGACTTAACAATGGGGACACTCACGACAAATCCCAGAGAATGTTCCCAGCGTCGTGGACAAGGCAGCCAGGTGCAACAGGACCGAGCCTACAAATTGCAAAGGAATCAAAGCCAAACCGTGCTCCCCCGACAGCAGGGGCCACCCTGGGAACGCCAGGCACCCAGCACTGTGGGTGCTCCACCTTAAACCCACGTCCTGCGCGACTTCCCAGCCCTTCCCTGCAAGGCCTGAAACGCATCCAGCCCCAGCAGAGGGGGCACCCAGGGCGGCCCCGGGAGGGGAGGGTGTTCTGGAAACTTCCCCAGACGGGGAGGAGCCTTCTGTTCCCATGGCTGTAGCTCCCTCCAGCTGGACAGCTTGCCGTGCACACCCAGGCCCCGGCCAGGCAGAAGGGCTTTGGGTGCGCATTGCCCGGAGCAGGTAAAAGGCAGGTGAGGACCCGCCCAGTGCGGGCAGTGAGGGCTTGGCAAGTTCCCCTGCAGGGGAGACTCCTGGGGCAGGGGACTGAGAACTGCCACCCCCGGGCCACCAGGGCTCCTGCCCTCACTGCCAGATGACAGGCAGGACAGCAGGTGCCTAGAGATGGGATCTGTCAACGCCAGCGAACCTGAGACAAACAGGACTTCTAACGGCACATAGCCTGTGTTCAAATCCACGCACAAGCTCCGGCCTCGGCAGCTCCGTTTCACACTTGTTGGGTGCAGCCTCGCAGAATAGGGGGCGCTGGAGGGAGCCCAGGCCGCGGTGGGACATCACGTCTGCCCCACAGGGAGGCAGACCCACAGGGGCCCGTGGCCATGGCCTTGATGTGGACTGACAGGCAGTGGCTGTGGGGGCGGCTCCCTGGCAGAGGGGAGCTGATTGGACGAGCTCCCTGGCCGGCGGAGCCCAGCCCCTGCCGCAGTCCCGCCCGTGGCGTGGGCCAAACCGGAGCGCTCTGTGCCTTCCTCGTTTGTCTGCAGCCTCACAGTCGTCACTGTGGGATGCCCCAGATCAGGCCTGCTGCCGGTGGGCCCTCGGCCGGTGGCTCCGGGCTGGCCCATGCGCACGGGTGTTTTTCTCGTTCTGATGCCAGGCACAGGGAGTGCCTGAGGCCGGGGAGGCATCGGGTCCACAGGCCAGGCCCACGCTCACATGCGTCACACACGCAAATCTCATGCTGCTCACATCTGAGGCTCCACTCCACCCTGACCTGGGGACGGTGAGGCTGAGGACGAGGTGGTGCCCGCCTGCCACCGTCACCTGCCTGTCACAAACCAGTGCGCCACTTCTGTGGCCCCCCCACAGCCCCTCCTTGCTTGAGCCCTGGAGGTGGCAGGGAGGCCCAGTCGGACAGCTGGACCCTGGGGAGTCGGCGAGCACACGTAGCATCCGATGCACAGCCCCACCCGCCCTGCCCGTGCCAGCTCTGGGCGACACGGACCTGGTGAGGGGCTGTGTCCCCCCGAGCAGCTGCCTGGCCCGAGCGGATTTCCAGCAAAACCAGAGCAACAGGCAAGGGATGTCCCCTGCTGGGGCTGCTGCCCGCGTGCCCGCGTCCATGGCTGGGATGGGGGCTGGGCTGGCCCTCGCTGCGGACTCCTGTGAGCCTCGTCTGGGTCCTTTGGGAGGTCATGGCCACGTGAACAAGGCTGGGAGAACGGAGGAAGAGAAAAAGCGTGGGTGTCCTCCAGAGAGAGAGCGGAGATGGCTTATAGCCAGGAGTTGACCCATGTGCCGGGCAGGCTGCCGGGACTGGCACCAGTGCGCAGATCCGCCCCTGCACCCCACTCTGCCTGGCTTAGCAAATTCACACGGGTTGCTCGAAGCATCTGACACCGGACGCAAGTGCGAGATTTTATATGAAATATTTATTAGCGGGCTTGATTTCGGAGGAGTGCCTGGCTCCAGATTCCCACACTCTGCCCTGGCTGCTGGCTGCTGGCTGTCCTGTGCAACTTTTGCTGGCGTTTGGCTAAAGCCTCGATGGGTTTTGACCACGTTTGTTTCCCTCGGCACCATGGGCACAGAGGGAGCTTTTTTCTCCCTTCTTGTTGAGGAGGGTGATTGAGGTCTGCTACGGAGAGGGAGGAAATCCAGGCACAGGCACACGTGTGCATGTGTGTGTGTGTGTGTGTGTCTAAGACACAGCTGCGTGCGCCAGCCACCCTGCACCTGGGCTAGCTCAGACCACCCAGCGGCCCAGGGACAGCCTCGTCCCCTGAGACCACGGTGAGACCCAGGCCAGCCGCCCCCACCTGGCAGGACGCAGGCTCAACGCTCCATCTTAATAAACCCTAGTGTGTTTCCTAAAAACGATCTTGAAGTGCAAAAAGAATCTCTAAGCATTTGCAAACAAAATCCATGTAGAACGGGGACTTTTCCTTCTCCGAGAACAGGGAGAGACAGCCCCGGAGACAGCCGTGGGAGTGAGGAATCTTAGACAGCCGGCCTCGGCTCTGATCCGTGTGCGATGCCTGCCAGGCGAGAAAGCGCAGGCCCCCAAACCGCAGTCTTTCATTGGGGACCCTCTGCTGGGTAGTGACACCGGGGAGGCAGAAGTTGCATTCTCCTTAACGGTGGGCTCCTTTGGCCTGGAAGCACCACCCACCCTTGCCCGGAAGCTGCCCCTGGGAGCCGGCAGGTTTGGAAGGCAGAGGTTGCTTAACGCTGCTCAGTAGCTCACTCCTAATGGCGCTGTCGGACCAAGCGGCAGCCCCGCCCCCTGCCTGCCGCGGTCTACTCTGCTGCCTGCAGACAAAGCTCCCAGATGCCACGGATCCCCCGACATCTCGTGGGCGTCCCGCCCCCTCCTCGGCGGCTGCTCTGTAGACCCCACCCCCCAAGGCCACACCTGACGCTTCCGAACAGGCACTCGGCTTCCCAGGCTCAGCGGAGGTAGCTGATGTGATATGCGACAAAAGATTAAAAAAAAAAAATCAACAGAGCTGACCTAGACACTTAGGCAGAACGGAGGTGGGCAGGAAGCCGGGGACACAGAGACGTTTTGTTTAAAACTAAAAGCAACAAGCCAGCAGAAGGACACGAGCTGGACGCGCCGGCCGATTCCGTCGTGCGACTCTGAGTCCCCTCTAGCCACAGCCCGCACGGGACTCTCCCAAGCTCGGCCTGGCAGTGAGGCCAGCTCAGTGGTCAGGCTGCCAACCGCCCAGGCTCTGGACAAAGTCGGTGCTGAGCCTGCTACCAACAGGTACTCAACAGTTACAAACAGATACAATGTATCAACTCTCGGCTTGGAAAAGTGACTTCTGGGGAGAGAGACAACCCTCACAAAGATGGAGCTAGGGAAAGTCATCAGAGGGGATCGCTCCACACCGGGGCCTTCTGCCCCAGACCCCTACCCACACAGTGGCCACTGAGAGATGGCACGGAACGCCCGGGCCAGGACAGGCGCCCCCTGGTCCTGGGAAGAATCTCGAAGCCTCCTGTCTGTCACCAGCCAGGTTGCACGGCGGTCCCCGGGTGTGGTGCGCCTAGAAAACCCTGCCTGCAGCTTCCTAGTTAAAGCTAGAGAGGGAACCGGAGAGGGTATCTGACCTCGCTGGGCACAGAAGCCGGGCGCCAGGGCCCCACAGACCGCACGCGGAGTCCAGGGTGGGTCGGGAGGGTCTCCGTGTCAGCGGGGGCGTGGCTGGCCGCCGCCGTTCCAGGAGCGCCCTTGGCCTAGCAGCAGCTACTCATCGCGTCTGCTGGCCCGCGGGCTTCTACCTCTCGGCCCGGATCTTGTACCTCAGGACGAGGTAGGCAATGAGGCGCAGGGAGACGAAGAAGACGCCCAGCACCAGGAAGTCCAGGTGCAGCTTGGCGTTCTCCACGTCCAGCTCCCGCAAGATGGCTTCCGACTTCTGGAAGTGGCACGTCTCGTCCGTGTCGCAGTGCAGGTCTTCCCGGTCCAGGCCGTAGATGGACAGGATGACCCCCTCGAACCCATACCTGGGGCGGAAGGCACAGGTGTCATGAGGAGGTCCCGCGGTGGCCGCTGCTCGGGTCCTGGCTCAAGGACGGGGTCGCCCACGGTGCCTGGCCTGGCTCCCTCCCTTCTCCCCAGCACGGGCGAACCTCGCACCCAGAGCTCGGCCGCACGGCTCGCCAGCCTTGCTTCCCCCAGGAGACCCCACAGTGGGGGAACTGGATCTGAATGCTATGGATCCTGCCCACGGGGCCACGCGCCTGTTGGTGGCCAGAGATAAGGGCGAGACTGACGGCTAGGGAGCATTAGGTGACACGTGTCCGGGGCCCTGGTCCTTCCAACCCGGGACAAAGCACGCTGGGGTCTTGAAGACCACACACGCTGCCTTCTGATTGTTCGGTGTGGGCGTGCACAGGTGTTGGGAACCCCAGGCAGGCACCTTGCTGGCTCCTAAACAATGTACCTGGGTCTGAACTATAGTGTAGACAGAGCTCCTGGCCCTGTGCACCTGGGTCTGATACAGTGTAGACCAGGGCTCCTGCCCCTGAGTACCTGGGTCTGATACAGTGTAGACCAGGGCTCCTGCCCCTGTGTACCTGGGTCTGATACAGTGTAGACCAGGGCTCCTGCCCCTGAGTACCTAGGTCTGATACAGTGTAGACCAGGGCTCTTGCCCCTGTGTGCCTGGGTCTGATGCAGTGTAGACAGAGCTCCTGCCCCTGTGTACCTGGGTCTGATACAGTGTAGACCAGGGCTCCTACTCCTGTGCACCTGAGTCTGATACAGTGTAGACCAGGGCTCCTGCCCCCTGTGTAACTGGGTCTGATACAGTGTAGACCAGGACTCCTGCCCCTATGTGCCTGGCTCTGATACAGTGTAGACCAGGGCTCCTACCCCTGTGTGCCTGGGTCTGATACAGTGTGGACCAGGGCTCCTGCTGCTGTGCACCTGGGTCTGATACAGTGTAGACAGAGCTCCTGCCCCTGTGTGCCTGGGTCTGATACAGTGTAGACAGAGCTCCTGCCCCTGTGCACTTGGGTCTGATACAGTGTAGACCAGGGCTCCTGCCCCTGTGTGCCTGGGTCTAACTGCAGTGTCAACAGAGCTCCTGGCCCTGTTACCTGGGTCTGATACAGTGTAGACCAGGGCTCCTACTCCTGTGTGCCTGGGTCTGATACAGTGTAGACAGAGCTCCTGGCCCTGTGCACCTGGCTCTGATACAGTGTAGACCAGGGCTCCTGCCCCTGAGTACCTGGGTCTGATACAGTGTAGACAGAGCTCCTGCCCCTGTGCACCTGGGTCTGATACAGTGTAGACCAGGGCTCCTGCCGCTGTGCACCTGGTCTGATACAGTGTAGACCAGGGCTCCTGGCCCTGTTACCTGGGTCTGAACTACAGTGTAGACAGAACTCCTGCCCTGTGTACCTGGGTCTGATACAGTGTAGACCAGGGCTCCTACTCCTGTTACCTGGGTCTGATACAGTGTAGACCAGGGCTCCTGGCCCTGTGCACTTGGGTCTGATACAGTGTAGACCCGGGCTCCTGCCCCTGTGTACCTGGGTCTGAACTACAGTGTAGACAGAGCTCCTACTCCTGTTACCTGGGTCTGATACAGTGTAGACAGAGCTCCTACTCCTGTTACCTGGGTCTGATACAGTGTAGACCAGGGCTCCTACTCCTGTTACCTGGGTCTGATACAGTGTAGACCAGGGCTCCTGCCCCTGTGCACCTGGGTCTGATACAGTGTAGACAGAGCTCCTGCCCCCTGTGCACCTGGGTCTGATACAGTGTAGACAGAGCTCCTGCCCCTGATTGGGTCTTTGAGGCACCTGGAGTGGTTGCTGCGTGGGTGGGGACTGTGAAGCTGGGCACCGCCCCAGGGACCAGCACACCCAGGCCAATGCATTGTCTGTGTCACTGGTGACATCGGCCCGTCGGAACCTGGGCTATTCCCAGGGGGCTCTGACCATGGCTTTATGGGCCCCACACACTTGCAAGAGAGCTGCAGCTCCTGAAAGGCGGGAACTCACAAGGCTCCCAAACCCGGCCACGGGGAGCCTCCTGGGCTCCTGGGCGCTCATCGCCCACAGCACTTTGTCATCGCTGTGTGTGCGCTGGCGAGGACGGGAGCACAGAGCTAGGGGACAACAAGGGCCATGCATGTCCCGGGGCCATGCCCGGTGCTCGGCCACAGGTGACGGTGGGCGTCTGGGTGCGCGTCTCTCCCACCCGCCGTGCTGGCTACCTGACGTAGGAGATGTAGGACATCCACTGCAGGTACGTGGGGATGGTGTCGAAGCTGACGAAGAACCCTGAGAACAGCAGGACCGGGATGGCCGTCACGGGGCCCACGAACGTCGCCACCTGAGACGGGACACAGTGCAGCTGACCGCAGGCCCCCACAGGCAGCCCGAGTCACCATCAGCAGGACAAGGCGAAGGCTGGGAGGTCGTCAGGGCACAGAGTGCAGAGTGCAGAGGTGGGAAGAGGGGCAGGGCTCCCTGGGCAAGGGCGGCAGGGGTCTCCAGGGGACAGGGGTGCAGCTGCCCCCAGGACTGCCCATGGTGGGGTGTTGCGACACCTGGGGGCTGTCTGGGGCAAAGGTGCAGCCGGCCCGGCCGTAACCCCAGCCATCCGGGCTGATGGGAGCCCTGTGGGGACCGCCAGAGCCCAGTGTCCTGCAGGCCTAGGGGCTGAGGGCGGGGCCGCCCCGGGCTGGGGATGGCCGAGCTCACTCCTCGCTCCCAAGGGAAGGGGCTGATGCAAGGCGGGGCTCCTGGCTCCCCCCGGGAGTGCGAGTGGGCCCAGGACACAGCAGGAACCAAACAACCACAACTCCTGACTTTACCTGAGCAGAAGCGCAGAGTGGGCGCTGTGGGGGGGAGGGGTGTACAAGTGTGGTGTGTGCAGTACATGTGTGTGGTGTGTGGGGTACCTACATGTGTGGCACATACGTGTGGGGTGTGGTGTATACATGTGTGGTATTGTAGGGTAAATATGTACTATGTGGTATGTATTGGATGTAAGTGTATGTGTGCGGTTATGTGCACATGTGTGGTATGCATGGTGATGTGCCCGGGTGTGTGGTACGCGTGGTGTATGTGTGTGATGTGTAGCATGTGGGATGCATGCTGTATATGACATGTGGTGTGCACAGTGTGTATATGTGGTGTTTGTGTCGTGTGTGGTACATGTGTGTGTGTAGTGGACATGTGTGTGTGGTGGTTACGGTGTGCATGTGTGGTGGATGTGGTGTGTGTGTGGTATGTGGTGCATGTGTGGTGTATGTGGTTACATGTGTGTTGTGTGTGTGGTGCACATGTGGTGTGACCTGTGCAGGGCTCTAAGCAGGTCTCCCACCTGTGCTCTGTCCGGGGAGCCCTTAGGAGGCTGAGGACATGGGGTGGAGGTCAGCCTGGGGAGGGCCTGAGGGGCTGTGGGCTGATCTTGGGGACAGGTGCACTGTGGGGGAGGGGAGCCCCGGTGAGCGACCCTGCCCGTGGGCTCGTTAGCATCGGGTGGCACCGTGAGGCCGGTGTGGCCCAGGCACCGCCACAGGCTGATGGCCTGGACAGGGAACGCACGCTCAGCACAAGGCAGGGCACGGCCGGGTGTGCAGGTTGGGGGCTCACGAGGAAGCCCCACTGGGGCAGGGCCCAGGGGGCCGAGCAGCAGGGCGGAGACACCTGAGGCTGGTTCCCTGGAGCCAGTACAGCTCAGCCCAGTGCCCATCTGCTCCGTCTCCAGCGTGAAGTCAGGCTGGGAGACCCTGCTCTGCGGGAGGCCGCTGGGACCGAGGGTCCTGGGAAGGGCGGGGCGTGCAGGAGGTGCGACTCCCGGGGCTCGCCCAGGGCTGCCATGGCTGGCTCCTGCTGTGGGTGTCACCCTTCCCCGGACACCCTGGCCACATCTCCCTGTGGGCAAAGGAAACAGGCCCAGGAACAAAGCAAGGGGTGGCAGGTGGACCCTGGAGGTGGCACAGTGGAGTGCTGGGCCTGGGACCACAATGGCCCCGCAGGGTCTGCCCACGCTTCTGGCCTCAGTTTGTCCTCCGGGGCCGGGCTACAGTGGCCTGTGGGGCAGGGGCAGGTGCAGGCTCCTCAGAGGCCACGGGGCAGCTCAGGGCTGGGGAGTACAACCAGGGGATTCCCGAGAGGAAGCAATGAGACTTGGGTGCTGAGGGCCTTGGGGCCCCCCCGCAGGTCACGTGCCTGTTGGTCTTCCCACCTGCAGGACGGGGACAGCTTAGCACCGAACCTGTACGTGTGGCTGAGGCCGGGCGAGCTGAGGCCGGGGACACAGCACCCAGCACAGGAGCAGCTCTGCACTGCCTGTGGGCGCGACCTCTCGGGAATTCGGGGGGAGGGGGAGGAGCAGGAGCAGGTGCGCTGACAGGGCCACAGGCCACGGAAGTGGGGGCCACAGCGCGTCCTCGGGGCGGCTACCTGCAGGGAAGTGGAGGCTGCTCCGATCAGCAGCCCCAGGGACTGGGCCACGAGCGACGTCATGGTGCCCAGCGCAGCGAACAGGATGAACCGCACGGCGTCGGACGGCTGAGAGGTCATCCAGTACACGATGCTGCAGTAGGCCACCGGGAACAGGACCTGGCAAGGCAGAGCCGCCTTGGTTACCCTGGGGCCGGCGCACACGTGGCTCCACCTCCGCCCTCCGCAGACCCGGCCCCTCCCCCGCCGTGCGCCCGACCTACCTGGAAGGGGACGTCGGCCATGGTCTTGGCGAGGTAGTAGGCCTTCAGGCTGTACCAGTAGTTCAGGTGTTCCCGGAGGAAGACCCCCATCTCCAGTGGAACTGCAAGAGAGGCCGAAGCACGGGTCGGCGGGTGGGTGCACCCAGCCACGAGGTCGAGGGCTGGCGGCCTGACGCGGCTCCAGCCTGTGCCTGCACTCCCAGTGCTGAGAGCCTGCGCGGGCCCAGCTGCAGCTGTGAGCTGCACGGGCGGTGTGGGGAGCACCTGTTGAGCACCGAGCGTCACCTCCGTGACCACACGGGTGCTGCCTCCAGCCCTTCTTGGCCTGTCTGCCTCGGCTCCCCCTGTACTGCGAGCCCCACCCCTACCCCGCACTGGTCCTGGGAGTTAGAGGGCACAGAGAGGGTGGTGGTGGATCCTGGAGGGGGCCCTCCATGCTAGGCTCTGGCAGGGCCCTGGCTGCCTGCACTGCCAGCCCAGAGCGGCCGAGGCTGCCCCCGTCGTGGGCAATCCCGGGCTGCACCAGATCTGTCTGCAAGAGCTTGTCCACTCCCCACGTCGGCCACAAGGGGGCCACCTTAGTATCTGAACCAGGACACGCTTGCCCAGGGAGACCTGGACCGGCTGGGGGCCAGCAGACTTTGGAGCGATGTCCCTCCCATGCTCCTGTCCTGGGCTGACTCCTGCACCAGGGATTCAGCCCTGTCAACAGTGTCTGCTGTCAGCCCGCAGCAGATGCAGCACCACCTCCGGCTGTCAGCGAGAGCAGTGGGGACGGCAGGTAAAGCCACGTCAGCGGTGCCGGCATCCCATACGGGCGCCGGTTCGAGTCCCGGCTGCTGCACTTCCAGTCCAGCTCTCTGCTGTGGGGCCTGGGAAGGCAGTGGAGGATGGCCCGAGTCCTTGGGCCCCTGCACCCACGTGGGAGACCGGGGAGGAAGCTCCTGGCTCCCGGCTTCAGACCAGCCCAGCTCATCTGGGGAGTGAACCAGCGGATGGAAGACCCCTCTCTCTCCCTCCCTCCCTCTCCCAGGTCCCGTTCCTGGGTGGGAATCCAGAGCAGGCAGGAGGCGGGCGGCCGGGCACTCACACGTCAGGACCGTGGGCATGAGCGCAGCGAACATGAGGAAGAGCATGGAGAAGAAGAGGAAGCCGGAGTTGCTCAACACCTTCTTGGCCTCGTTCCCGATCCCCAGGTAGAGCAGGCCGATGAGGAGGCCGATCCCGATGTGGGAGGTGACGCGCAGGTGCGTCAGGACCTGGGCGCAGCGGAGCCGGCGGTCAGGGCGGGAGGCCCGACCTCCGCATGGCCCCGCCCGCCTCCCCTCCCCTCCCCTCGGCCGGCTCAGACTCACAGCCCTGCCGTGTGCACACGTGACATGTGTGTGCACACATGCACACACACGCACCGTGCATGCAGACACGCACACGCCATGTGTGTGCACACACGCGCACCATGTGCAGGCACGTGTGTGCGCACACACAGCAGGCTTTGACAACAGAAGTCATTGCTGCTCTTTGTTGAATCCTCTTTAACTACAACAAGAAGGGAAGTCCGCCTTCAGAAGGGAGAGCAGCAAATGCAGTGGTGGGACAGTGAGGGAGGGGTGCCGGGGGGGGGGGCGCAGCCCTCAGGGCTCCCGCCTGGGGGTCACGGGCAGACCCCTCTGTCTGCCTAGCCCAGAGCCAGCAGCCGCACTGGGCACCTCCCTCTCCCAGCAGGTGGCCGGTCACTGTGACTGGGCACCGCCTTAGCCATGGGATCGTTTCGGCCACCACCTGTGAGGACGAGGGCCTGGCTGCCTGCTGCCTCCAGAGGCAGGGAGGGCCATCGTGGGCACTGCCCCTCGTCCCCTCCCTCCGCCCTGTGTGTGGCCTGCAGCTGCCTTCACACAGAGCCCCAGGACGGGAAGACAGAGGGGGCTGAGCCACGACCCGACCCACGGCTTCCGGCGAGGCACAGACACAGGCCGGGGCACACACACACACACGCGTGGTGGATGGTCTGTGCCCGCGGCTGGCGGTGCGGGCTGGGCGAGGCAGACAGCAGGGCGAGGAAGGAGCGAGTGGCGGGCCGAGCCGCCCCGCAGCCACGAGCGGGGGTCAGGGAGGCACTCACGGAGTCTCTCATGATGCTGAGGAGTGTCCTCCGGAACAAGATGCAGAACTGCGTGAGGCAGCTGGCCGAGAAGCTGTGGCAGCCCTCCGCGGAGGCCGAGTCCTGCGGGCACACGGCAGGCCGGCGTGAGCCCACGGGGCGCCGCGCGCGGCAGGCGGCTCGGCCGGGCGCGCGGGTCCACGTTACCTGTCTGAACCCCTGCTTTACCTCTTCAGAGGGCCGGTGCCAGAGGAAGGTGTTCACCTCAGGCTTCGCCCCCGAGGTCCCGCTTGTAGTCCGAGTCACACATGCCCTCCCGCACCGCGCGAACCAGGCGGCCGTTCTGATCGCCGTACTCGCCGGACGCGACCTCCATGACTGCCCGAGACAGGGGTGGGGGCTGCGTCAGCCCAGGGCTCCCGGTGTCACCCGGCAGCACGGTCATGGTTGGTGGGGACTTTGCAGCCCGTGACACAGGGGCTGCCTGGTGATGACAGCGGGGTGATGTCAATCATTTATCAACCAGCGTTTGGCCCCGCCCCCGGGCAAGGTCTCCTGTCCAGGCAGAAGCACACAATGCACCTGGATGTCAGCCTGGGAAGCCATCAGCTGCCCCAGCTTCCAGCCCCAGGGCTTACTGAGAGCTGAGGCTGGGGCGGGCAGCAGAAAGGGGCGGGGCCTCTCCACCAGGGCTCCGGGAAGGGCGTGCCCACTGCCACACGGGGGTCCTTGGCAGCTGGGGGACACCCAGGTCTCGGACCCTCGGCCTGCACCTGGCAGACCCCAGCGCATAAATGCTCGCCTGGCCTCCCCCCCCCCCGCCCATCCTGTACCCCGAGTCAGTTCCTTCCCACCTCCAGGTCTCCCCCGCCCCGCCCCCTCCTCTCCAGCACAGCCTGCTTCTTGTGAGAGAGAGATGTCTCCCAGGAGCAACGTCCCAAGGATCACAGTTTGGGGACCGGTGTCCCGGGAGTCACCTGCCCAGGGACAAAGGCCCCCCCGGGAGCCTCAGAACGGCCTCCTGGGGGAGGGGTCACCACACCCGTGACCTATCTTGAGCTGAGTTCATCCTGGGTTAGAGCGGATCCTGAATCCAGTGACCAGTGTCCTTGTGGAGGGACAGGCCAGGCCTGCGGCGACACAGGCAGGTCGTTTGAAAGCTCCGCCACAGGGCGGCACCTGAGCCCCTCCTGGAATATTCTAGACCTTCCTGACCGGGTCAGATAAAAGTGGGAGCCACAGAGCGGACAGGGGTCTGTTGCTTCCCAGCTGGCCAAGGCTCTACTCACCGAAGTCGGCCGGGTTGTGGTAGGTGGGGCAGCTCAGCCCCAGGTCCCTTAAGTACGGCACGAGGTTGGAGACCTTGCCCCGGTACACACACTGGCCCTGGCTCAGCACGTAAAGCTGGAAAAAGGGAGGAGGGGGAGCATCAGCACCCGCCCCCAGGGGCCGTCAATCAACCAGCTGGCCCTGCCTTCCTCCTAGAATCCCACCCCCACCCCCCCACAGGACAGCTCAGGGTCCCCGCTGAGGTTCCAGGAGAAAGCCACGGCGTCGTGGGGAAGACGGACAGCAGGGGGCCAAGCATCATTTTACCATTTGACATCACTTGCTTTTTATTTCATGCTAACCCTTGCTGAACAAAGAGCCCGGGGCTGTGGGAAGACGCAGTTTCCCGTGTGGGACCTGGCTGTGGTTAGCACCAGGATCTGCGGCATCGTGGGGTTTCTGGAGCCTGGCGCTAACTGTCCGCAGGCGGCCCCACTTCAAGGTGGTCAAGCACCAGCGAACTTAGTGATGGCCCCATCCCAGGCCCGGCCCGCAGGGGCCCAGCACTTCCTAGCCCCGCCCCCTGCGCTGCTGAGAGGGTGGGGGTGGGGGCGGGTACCTGGTCGAAGAGCTCGAAGAGCTTGGCACTGGGCTGGTGGATGGTGCAGATGATGGACCGGCCGCCCTGAGCCAGGCCCTTCATGAGCGAGAGCACCTGGAAGCAGGAGGCGCTGTCCAGGCCGCTGCAAGCAAGGGGCACCGTGAGACGCTGCGGGCAGCGGGCAGCGGGCAGCGGGGATGTGCCCACGGCCCCAGAGGCAGGCTCTGCTCCAGCCAGCGGGGACTGTGGAGGTCAGGCTGGCTCGTGCTGGGTCCAGGGGCGCCCGGGGTGGAGAGGGCGGGGGTCCCGCCCATCTTGAGGGGGGGGCTTCAGAACCCTATGGCTGGGCAGTGGCACCTCCTCCCCAGGACATGTAAAGGGCCAGGGGCACAGCCTGGGGCTGGCGCCGGGGGTCGCCAGGGGCCGAGGCTGCACCCGTGGGGGTCTCACTTGACATGCGTGGGTGTCTTTCCCGCGGATGCAGGCTCCCGGGATGACCACCCTTCCCCCCTCCCTCTCCAGCCACCCCTGGCCCTCAGGTCCACAGCCAAGGGCCAGGGTTTGGGCGTGTGAGGACAGATCCCGGGGCCACACCCCCCAGAGTGCTTGCAAGGGCTTTGCTTTTGCTGAAACAGGCACAGAGAGGCTGCCTTGGGGGCTGCACGGGGTTGAAGCAAACCCAGCAGACACGCCCCTCCCTGGAGAAGGGCCCGGTCCAGCTGGGCTGTGGAGAAGTGAGCCGGACAGGGAAGACGGACAGTGGAGCGTTCGGGTCAGAGGTCACTACAGCACCCGACCTGCTCCCCTGGGCGAGGACAGCAGGAGGTGAGGGGTCAGGAGTTAAGTGAGCGGGGCTCAGCCGTGGGCACCAGGGCAGAGCTACGTGACTGCTGCCAGGGACCCTGGAGGCAGGCGGCGTCCCGGGAGAGGCTCAGGGCCCGGGCAGGGGTGGAGAGACAGGGAGCCCCCAAAGACAGTTCTGTCTGGGGACCCCTCCGAGCCTTAAACACGTGGTGTTTCCAGAGCTTGTGGGGCACCAGGCCCCCTTCCCAGGGCTCCCAGCGCTGGCTCCAGGGTGGCCGTGCCTTGGGGGCCTTGGTAGTACAAGCACTGGGAAGGGGCAGTTCCCCCAAACCCCACCCCCACGATGAGCGCACGCCGGACCCTGCCCCGTATCCCAGGAGAGAGGAACGGGAAGGAGGGGAGCAGAGCCCATGCCCCCCGAGGCCGTGCAGGGGGTCAGGGCTGGCCCACGAGCTCGGAGGACGCCCATGCCCCCCGAGGCTGTGCAGGGGGTCAGGGCCGGCCCATGAGCTTGGAGGACCATGCCTCCCGAGGCTGTGCAGGGGGTCAGGGCTGGCCCACGAGCTCGGAGGACGCTCATGCCCCTCGAGGCCGTGCAGGGGGTCAGGGCCAGCCCACGAGCTCCGAGGACGCTCATGCCCCTCGAGGCCGTGCAGGGGGTCAGGGCCGGCCCAAGAGCTTGGAGGACCATGCCCCTCGAGGCTGTGCAGGGGGTCAGGGCCGGCCCAAGAGCTCCGAGGACGCTCATGCCCCTCGAGGCCGTGCAGGGGGTCAGGGTCAGCCCACGAGCTCCAAGGACGCCCTCGCCCCAGCCCCCAGCCCAGACGCCCCGCGTACCTGGTGGGTTCGTCAAAGAACATGACGGGCGGGTTGTTGACCAGCTCCAACGCAATGGCCAGACGCTTCCGCTGCCCGCCCGACAGGCTCCCTGTGCGGGTGTGGGCACAGGTCAGCAAGCCCAGTGCCGTCAGGATCTCCTTGACCTGTGGGCGACAGAACCAGGGTCCCCATCAGGAACTGCGTGCCCACCAGGGCCACGTGGAGAGCTCTCCAGCCTCCCCATGTCTCCCAGGGGCCACCTGGTGCCAAGCAAGACAGGCACTGCTTCCAACAGCTGACCCGGGCCACGGAAGCTGCGCTGGAGTCAGACCTGAGGACTCTGGCTGGAGGTGTGGGCATGGCCCTCACTCCCAGAGACAGAGGAGCTGCCAATCACTAGCTGAGGAGTGGGCGGGCGATCAGTTTGTGACCAGCACCTGCAAGGTGCCTCCTCGGATGCCGGCCAACAGGAGGCCGAGGCTTGGTCGGCTGCAGCCTCTGGGCCAGGCTCACCCCCACGTGCCTTAGGCTGCCTCCAGAATCTATGCAACCCTAATCTCCTTGGGCTGGGCAGCCCCGGTGGCCAGAGCCAGCAGACCTCAGGGCATGGCCTGGCTGGGGAGTCAAGGTTCTGCAGGAGTGAGGGATTCACAGGGACGAATGTGTCCACTCTGGGCTTTTGAAACATTCATGCACTGTGCGTGCAAGGTGCAGCGGGGTGATAGGAACCGGCACACTGCTGCCGGCAAGCGGGGACAGGTGCAGCGAGCGGGAGACAGGCCTGGGGATGGAGCCTGCGCTGCCTCTCTCTGCTGATGCCCCACCCCACCCCGCTGCCCCTTCCGGAATATCTTGTCTCTGAGACAAGGAGGCAGCTGTAGGGAGACGGCCCGGATGTCCAGCGGGGTGGGTGCAGGTGGGCTGGGATCTCCGGGTGCTTTCTCTCCTATGTAGACCCAGGATGAGGTCCACGGGGTCCCCAAAGCCACTTGCTGACAGACTGGAAAACCAAGCAGCCATGGTGGATCCGGGCCCGCTCTGGGTGCCTACACAGACACGGCACACACCTGCTTCCCCGTGCACCTGCAGCAGGGGCCGCCGGCATCCTGAGCCCCTCCGGCTGCACCTGCCCCTCTGCAAGGCCGGCCCCGCCGCTCCAGCTCGGCCTCAGCGATGAGGCTGTGCGTGTTGGTTTGTTTTGCTCCTCCTCCTCCTAAGTCCTCCTGGGCCTGGTGGCTCTGGCCTCCCTCCTGAGGAAGGAACCACTGGGAACAGGGCCGGACTGGCGGGAATGGAGGCACGCGGGAGATCAGTGGCGGGGCTGGGTGCTCGGAGGGGGGGACGCGCACTGTGGCCGACCCAGTGCTGCAGGTGAGGCGGGAGCAGGATGCAGCCCACCTGCTGCAGGGCACGGCGAGGGGCCAGGCGTGGTCCAGAGGCCACTGTGGTCCTGCAGCCACACACAGGGAGATGGGGCTCAGGGCCCAGCAACCTCTGCCTGGGGCTGTGGCTTCCTCCTGTCGGGATGAGGGTGGGGTCGGGGGGGGCTGACCTTGGGCATGGGAGGGGGGAGGGAGCTGACAGTGGACTTGGGAGGGGGCGAGGGAGCTGAGGACATGGGAGGGGGGAGAGGGCTGACAGTGGACTTGGGAGGGAAGGGGAGGGAGCTGAGGACATGGGAGGGGGAGAGGGCTGACAGTGGACTTGGGAGGGGCGAGGGAGCTGACAGTGCACATGGGAGGGAAGGGGAGGGAGTTGAGGACATGGGAGGAGGGAGGGAGCTGACAGAGTACATGGGAGGGGGGAGGGAGCTGACAGTGCACATGGGAGGGAAGGGGAGGGAGCTGAGGACATGGGAGGGGGGAGGGAGCTGACAGTGGACTTGGGAGGGAAGGGGAGGGAGCTGAGGACATGGGAGGGGGAGGGGACTGACAGTGGACTTGGGAGGGGGGAGGGAGCTGACAGTGCACATGGGAGGGAAGGGGAGGGAGCTGAGGGACATGGGAGGGGGAGGGGGCTGACAGTGGACTTGGGAGGGGGGAGGGAGCTGACAGTGCACATGGGAGGGAAGGGGAGGGAGCTGAGGACATGGGAGGGGGAGGGGGCTGACAGTGGACTTGGTGGGGGAGAAGGGAAGGGAGCTGACCTTGTACGTGGAGGGGAGAAAGGGGAGAAGGGAGCTGACCATGGATGTTTTGGGGTGGGGGAGGGAGTCGACCCTGGACATGGTGGCAGGGAGGAGGTGTGGCCTTAGATGTGAGAGGAGGTTCTGCTAGCCCAGGGGTGAGGTTGCCGGGCCACCAACCCTGCATCACCAGGCTGCTGACCTGGAGCTGCCTCTTTCAACCACCGCCTAGAACTGCTGTCCAGCTGGATCCCCACTCTGCGGATGTCAGCAGCTCTGGGGCAGGGCTGGGGAGCAGTGGTCTGCCCATCTCTGTTACACAGGTGCCGGCGTGGCCAGGGCTCCCTGCTCCCAACCCGCACCATCGGTCACAGCCAGGCCTGCGCCTCCAGGGGGCAGAACTATGAGCAGCCCCCACACTGTCCCATCTCAGAGTTCTGCAGGAAGTGTTTCCATAGCAGGAACCAGACTGGGGGGGGGGGGGCGTGCGGTGCAGAGGTTACGGTGGGTGCTACCTGAGACGCCTGCATCCCATATCCGAGTGCCTGGTTCAAGTCCCAGCTCCTCCACTTCTGATTCAGCTCCCTGCTAAAGCCCACCCCGGGAGGCAGCAGATGATGGCCCAGCACTTGGGCCCTGCCACTCAGACCTGAGTGAGCTCCTGGCTCCTGGCGTGGGCCTGGCCCAGCCCTGGCTGCTGCGGGCATTTGAGGAGTGAGCCAGCAATGGGACATCTGTCTCCCCATCTTTAATTTTAAAAATAAGAAGGAATTTCCTTTCTCAAAAAGAACTGAAAGAAAGCAGGTTCTGTCTGCCTACACTTGCCACTGCCACCCAGAAACGGGCTGGATCCCAAGAGATTTCGAGGGTGCAGTGGCTGGGCAGGGGGAGCCCCAGGCTGCCGACCACCGTGTTCTGAAGACCAGCGCGGTATGAGCCAGCCTGCGTAACGAGGGACGTGAAGTGCGGTGACAGGAAGCGGCGGACGCCCCCATGGCCGGTTCAGCTGCACCCTGCTGCACACTCGTCCCCCACCTCTGTGGCAGGAGCCGAGGGCACTCGGGGCACGCACCCCACCCATCCCGCGCTCTCCACGGGGGCCAGAGGAGACAGACAGCACTGCAGGGCGGGCCTGCCCGAGCGCCAGTCCCCCGAGACCCCCAGCAGCGCCCGCCCAGAGCGATGAGGGGGCGAGCCCCTCCCCGTGCGGCCTTCTGGGGGGCTCCCTCTCTACCTGCACACCTCACTCTCCCTGGTGCCTTAGTTTCTGTATTTAAAGACCAGCTAATAACACCCCCAAGCCGATTGCTTCTTGCCAGTGTGTGTGTGGGTGGAGGGTGGCTATTTTTAAACGAATGACTAACCATCTTCATTGTCAGCATTTAAAGAAAAATAATTGAATATAAAGTGTATTAAACACTCTGAGGCACAGAGCGCCAGGCCCAGCCGGGAAGGCAGGAGGCCTCTGGCCGCCCACGCGGGCCAGCCATTGGCTCCTGGATCTGAGAGCAGAAGCCGTGACTCTGGCCCCAGCACAGCCTCTCCAGGAATCTGGCGGCACAGCCTAGGGCGTGCCCTCGCCAGCCCCTGCCTCCCGCAAGAAGGAGAGGCGGGAACAGCCAAGCCACACACAAGCCAGCACTGCAGAGCCCCGCACTCCGGGCCCGGCACGGGACCCCCAGGCACTCACCATCTCCCTCCTGCCTTCGTCTTTCTCCTGCAGCTTCAAGTGCGCAGACACCTGTGGGGACAAGGGGGACGGTGTGGAGCAGAGGCGTGGCTGCCGCAGGGCGGGCCCCCAGCCACCTGCCACAGAAAACCCCAGAAGGCCTCGGCCCCTGCCCTGGGGGTAACCCGGGCCGGGCTGTGGGCGAGTGCTGCGTGTCCCTGTGCCTCCACCTTCTACTGGACCCATGAGAGACATCAGCTATGGGCAGCGTGGAGAAAGTAGGCCCCCAGCATCAGGAGCCCAAGACCTGCCCAGCGGGGGGCCCTGCAGCCGCGGGCCTGGGAGGACGGAGTCAGGGACACAGGCTTCAGCCACGGGCACGCGCTGCACCCAGATGCTGCTCCTGGCTGTGCTGTGTTTCCCTGAGACCCCGTCCACAGCACAGCACTGGGCCCCTGACCCTGACCCCACGCCTCTACCAACGGCAGGGGTCCTGGGCAAACAGGGAGACCAGTTTCCTCCTCCCCAGCTTGGGGGTGAGGTCACAGCCTGCCCACCTCATGGTCTAGGGCGTGGCTGCAGGGGCAGAGGAGAGGGGAGAGTGGCAGTGAGGTCACAGACCCAGATGGCCAGGGCTAGGCCGCTGGTACTGGACGTCTCCACAGCGGAAGACACTGGGAGTGAGAAGAAGCAGTGACTTGAGCACCTGCTGGATGCCCCTGCCTTCCGTGCAGCATCCCCTCAGGGGGAGGGGCCTGAGGCTGGGCGGGGGGAGGTGACAGCTGCATGGCAGGGAGGTGGAGCCCAGCACTCAGAGGGGCCTCCAGGTCCCCGTGTGGCCACAGGCAGCCCTAGGACCCTGGCTCCCGGCTCAGCTCTCACAGGGCTGTGTGCGTACGGCCTGGGACCCGGCAGGTGCTGGCCAGTCACTGGCTGCAGCCCCGCCACCTGGCAGGCAGGTGAGCGGGAGGAGGAGGCCCTCTCGGCTCCAACACAGGCTCCAGATGAGCTGAGACCTGGGCTGGACTCACAGAGGGAGGGACGTCCCGGCCCGACCCAGGGAGCAGGACGCTGCCCACTGGCTGAGTCTGCCAGGAGCCTCGGGGGCGGGGGCG